TTAAAAGTATATGCTTTTGTAGATATATAGATAGATAGATAGATAGATAGATAGATAGATAGATAGATAGAGTTCAATGACACCTAGAACAAATAAGTTAAAATTACTAAAATATAGACCAGAATATATTTTGTTAAAAAGTTTCCAATAGATAACTAGAGCGGCGTTAGTCAATGAATTAATAAGTTCCTTAAACATTGACCTATCAACTAGATAGATAGTAAACAGATTCCTATAGATAAGTACATACATAGAGAGAGAGAGAGAGATGTATATGATGAACAGACTTATATAGATGTGAATAACCTGAGATAGATAGATAGATAGATAGATAGATAGATAGATAGATAGATAGATAGATAGAGCGAGAGAGACAGACAGAGACAGACAGAGAGAGAGAGAGACAGGAATAGATAGATAGATAGATAGAAAGAGAAAGAGAGAGAGAGAGAGATAGATAGATAGATAGATAGATAGATAGAAAGAGAAAGAGAGACAGAGAGATAGATAGAGAGAGAGAGAGAAAGAGAGAGAGAAGAGAAAACTGAGTTAGATATACAGACTGGAATAGATAGATAGATAGATAGATAGATAGATAGATAGATAATAAGTTAGGCAGAGTAGAGTGTTAGATTTGGCCAGACTGGAAAAAGAGAGGAACTGATAAAAATGGTGTAAAATTTATAAATATGTGCGAAATAAATATCAGATTGAATTGCAGAAATAAAACATATAATGAATTTCCAAAAATTTCCAGTGACTTGTATGTGTTTACTTGTTATTTCTCTGTGTCTAACAATCAACGCTGCCGAGATTCTTAAAACCGAATTCCAGTGTCTGCATCTGCGAACTGTGGCACGGATCATTGTTATTTGCTCGTCAAGTTCTGGACAATCTTTGGACGTTCGCCATTCATTTTCCTTGAGTAGATTCTTGAACAGGAGAATAATGGAGAACACGGAAACACGAGAGGCGATTTGAAACAACAAAAGGAAAAGGGAGGGGTCTCGAACGGCCATGGTGTATTGCTATTGATCAGATATATTCTCTCGTGGAATTTAGCCTTCAAGCTAATGGGTGGTTCTGACGGCGTCCCTCCGACGATTACGATTTGACGGGAAAACTGGATTCAGGATAAAGAAGATAGCTGGTTAAGTTTAGGATTATTGAGTGATCAACTGGCTGAGCAAAATAAAGAGGAGGAGAAGAAAAAGAATTATTATTATTATTATTATTATTAACAGCTAAGTGAAGAGCGTGATTTAAGAAAGGATGAAGAAAAGAAAAAGAAACAGTGTTTGACAATGTTAAACAATATTTCAACAAAATGTCTGGCTTCTTCATGTTATATTTAAACAATTTTTTAAGTATAAAAATATATAAATCTACAAAAAACTTATAAGTCTTTGTACAAACGTTGCTTATCTAAGATTTATTATTGATACAATAAGTGTGGCACAAGGCCGAAAAAAGCGGGGAGACTATTTAAGGTTGGTTATCATTAGCTATCTTATACTTAGCTAATCGAATTTACGATCCATTTATTTTTTACAATATACAATATATTAGGTTGGTGCAGAAATAATGACGTAATAATGTCGTTTTTTGACGTTAAAAAATACGTCAAAAAACGACATTATTACGTCATTATTTTTGCTCCAACCTAATACATAAGAGTTTATCAGTCACCATTCGCTCTTTCCCGCAACAAAATACTCCACACACACTTGGCAACTGCTGGAGAAAAACTGCGCAATCCGTTACAAAAACCAATATGTACAATTGTGTATTGCTTGTCTTGTAATGAAAAAACGTCTGTACTGGTAATCAATACGTCAAAACGAATGAAACGCTGCCAAGCGTGAAGGCATGCATCTAAAACTTGCTTAATATGATGACGACCTGGTTCATGATATTTACCATTAGGTGATTAGTTACTAAGAGGAATTCTTTCTTTTTATGTGCCATGTCTTTTCATGACGTAGGCGATCATGGCTCTCTCCCTCCCTCTGTCCCTTGCAGTTCTCAACATTTTCCTTCCCTATGCCACCCCCCCCCCAGACCACATGCTGTCATCCACTTGCTTAAGCCCGCCACGCGTTGTTTTCCCTCTTTCGACCCGTGAGTATCAGATTCTCCAGGCCCGCCTTCCTCGTTATGTATCCCAAAAACTTCAGCTGCCTCTTCTTGATATTAAGTATAAGCATCCTACTTGTTTCAAACCACTCTAACATCTCATTGTTGCTCACATACTCCGTCCATGATATCCTTAGCATCCTTCTGTAGGACCACATCTCTGACGCCTCGAGTCATCATCTTTGAAGAAATCGTCCGCCATTCGCTGCCGTAAAGAAGGACATACGTCACGTAACAGTTCAGTATTCTTTTCTTTGTTACCAAAGAAATCCTGTCTCGCAATACACTGCCCAGCTTTTGGAATGTGTGCTTGGCCATCCCAATACATCTACGGACTTATCGTCCTCTGTCAAGACGCTTACCAGGTATTTAAACTTCCGCGTCTGCTTGATTCTAGTGTTCCCGACCTTCAGATCGCATTTCGGGCTTCATCCTCTTAATGACGACCATGCACTGCGTGTTCTTGTAGTCTATGCTTAGTCCTTTCTTCGCACTCTCCGTCGCTACCTTCAGTAGAAGATTCTGTAATTTCATTTGCATGTCTGCTATCAGTACTGTGTCATCTGCATATCTTATGTTGTTACGATTGTGGTCGCCAATGTTAAATTCCGGTAGGGTTTCCAATTCTTTCAGAATTTCCTCGCTGTATCGGTTGAACAGGTCGAGTGAGAAGACGCATCCTTGCCTTACGCCCCTTTCTATTTTTGTATATTCACTGAATTCGTTCCCTCTGCGCATGCATGCTGTTTGCTGCCAGTATGGGTTCTTGATTATTCTGATATCTCTCCCGATATCGAGGTTGCAGAGCAGTTCCATCAGATCATTGTGGCGTACTTTGTCGAAGGCCTTTGCGTAGTCTGTGAAACATAGGTACACGTCCTTCTGCATCTGAGCGAACGGTTCGGTTCGGTTTAACTCTCTGATTTCGGGCGGGAGGAACCCGAAGGAGGCTACGCCGAAGGGCGGAGTCTCCTTCGGGGAGGTAAAACCGGCCCTGAACCCGTTTATACGGGTTCAAATGGGCTATTTTTTGGCCGAGCCTAATGGCTCGGAAATGCCCACGTTAAAAAGGCCTTGTGCCACATGACGCCCTCGTGGAGGGACGACTAAATATAGTCCTTCTGCATCTGTATCGCTCTTTCTGATAACATTCAGAGCATGAATATCGCGTTCCTTGTTCCGGTGTCTTTTAACGAACCCGCACTGTTCTTGTCCTATATCTAGGACGATTCATTAGAATACGGATGATGAGTTTTGTCACGTGGCTCATTAGACTTATTGTTCGGTGGAGTCCGCATTCGTTTGCGCCTGGTTTCTTAGGCATAGCTATAAAAATAGATCTGCTGAAGTCTTCCGGTATATCCTCGCTGTTGTAGATTTCATTTGTTATTTCAGTGATCTTGTCTATGTCAAAGTCATCTAAGTCTGTCAGCATTTCCGTTACAATTCCGTCAATTCTTTTCAATTTAGCCAGTGCGGCTTTTATTTCGGTTTTCAGAATTCCAGATCCATCGGTAGTTCTGTGTATTGCTGGTTGTTCACTTACGTCGTGGAAGAGTTCTCCAATGTACGCGTTCCAGCGTTGAAGAATTTTTCCTTCTCTAATATGAGTGTTCCATCGTTTGATTTTAGGCAGCCTGTTGACGATCATGTCTTTTGTTCTGTTAGTTGTCTTACTTGTTTGTGCATGTCTCTTTTGCTGGTAGTATTCAATCTTTCTATTTCTGCACATTTTTCGTTTAGCCATTCTTCTCTAGCTTGCCTGCATTTGCTCCTTATTTCCTTGTGTAATGTTCTGTATTCTGTTCCGTATCTTGGTCGAGTTTTCTGTAGTTATCCATCATGTCATCCATTTATTTCTCCTTCTTCGTCTTGTCTCCTTTGCGATGATATCATTTGCTAAAGCGTCTCTTAGTACGTCCCATTCGAGTTTCTATTGTGTGCCTCGTATCTTCTTTTCACGTTGTCTATGTATTTTTATTTAAGGTTAGGATCACTCAGGAGTTTGTTGTATTGCAGTTTGGGTGCTTCGCTTCGTCAATTTCCGCAGTTTCACTCTTAGTTTACAAATAAGAGGGCGATGATCGCTTTCGAAGTCGGCGCTTGGGTAGGTTTTGCAGTGAATCATTGCCTTTCTGAATTTGTTGATAGTTATATAATCAATTTGGTTTTTAGTTTCTCCTCCTGGACTCCTCCATGCCCATAGTCGTCTCGGATGTTCTTCGAACCATGTGTTGGCTATTAGCCATGTACTATAGGATCCATTTTTCTCCGCGTTCGTGGCGGGTTCCTAGTCCGAATCTTTCTGCTATATCTCCTGCCCTCTCCCTGCCTACTTCGGCGTTTAAGTATCCAATGATAATTATGACTTCCTGTGATTTGCATAGAGCCCTGGCACTGTCCGCATGGAGTAGAAAGATTCGATGTCCTCGTCCTTGCTTTGTATCGTCGGTGAGTCCGCCACTATAATAGCCACATCGAAAGGCCTCTTTTTCAGCTTCACTACCTGAATTCTTTCGGAAAACTGTTGGTATCCTAGAACGCATTTCCTAATTTCGTTATCTAGTATTAGTTCTACTCCTTTGTCCTTGTTCTCACCGCCTGCATAAATTATCCAGTGTTTCTCGCTGACAAAGACACCGTTGTTTGGCCATCTGGTTTCACATACACCTCGAATGTTGATGCTAATCCTGTTCATCTCTTGTTTAATATTACCAAAATGGCCGCAGTTGTTCAGTGTCCTGACGTCCCATATACCGAGGGTTATTTTGTGTTTGATGCGAGCAGTTGCAGGATAACTGTCTAGCGACACCTGTCGCTCATGTCGATCCTTTCCGGGCGAGGAATAGGTTCCGAGGACTTTTATCCCCTTTACGCCGTTTATGCTAGCAGTCGCTGGATGACGGTCAGGTGACACCTGTTGCGCATGTCGATCCTTTCCTGGCGAGCAATAGGTTCCGAGGACTTTTATCCCCTTTACGCCGTTTATGCTAGCAGTCGCTGGATGACGGTCCGGTGACACCTGTTGCGCATGTCGATCCTTTCCTGGCGAGCAATAGGTTCTGAGGACTTTATCCCTTTACGCCGTTTATGCTAGCAGTCGCTGGATGACGGTCCGGTGACACCTGTTGCGCATGTCGATCCTTTCCTGGCGAGCAATAGGTTCCGAGGACTTTTATCCCCTTTACGCCGTTTATGCTAGCAGTCGCTGGATGACGGTCAGGTGACACCTGTTGCGCATGTCGATCCTTTCCTGCCGAGCAATAGGTTCCGAGGACTTTTATCCTTTACGCCGTTTATGGCGAGCAGTAGGTTCGGAGGACCTGTTGCGCATGTATCCCCAATAGGTTTTATCCCTTTACGCCGTTTATGCTAGCAGTCGCTGGATGACGGTCAGGTGACACCTGTTGCGCATGTCGATCCTTTTCCTGGCGAGCAATAGGTTCCGAGGACTTTTATCCTTTACGCCGTTTATGCTAGCAGTCGCTGGATGACGGTCAGGTGACACCTGTTGCGCATGTCGATCCTTTCCTGGCGAGCAATAGGTTCCGAGGACTTTTATCCCCTTTACACCGTTTATGCTAGCAGTCGCTGGATGACGGTCAGGTGACACCTGTTGCGCATGTCGATCCTTACCGGCGGGGAGCTAATTCCCATAGACATAACCCATAAGTTTGGTTTCGCATTATCTGAGTTGTTAACCATGATTTGCCTTGGGATTGATAGTGGAGTGGTTTCCCATTACTTTCTTCATGGTGGTTTATGGAAACACCATCTCTAGTTAGATGGCCGTTGACTCAGTGAGTTCGTGCACCCTTTTTTAGGTCTTGTTTCTCTAGTGGCTTGCTAACGAGTCACCTCACTCGGAACTCGGAGTGGGGTAGTCGGTTTAGTCGCCAGCATTTCGACTGGAATACTTACCGAAAGATTAGGGAAACAACAATAACAAAAAACAAACAAGAAAAAAAAACCCTAATTACCCCCCCAAAAAAAAAAAAAACTAATTAAAAAAAAACAAAAAAACTAAGTTTTAGTTAAAGTCCTGATCCCCACTACTAAAATGCTAACAAAGAATGGAGAGGACATTAAATTCACTTCACTTAGAGGAGAAAAATTTGCGAAACAAGAAAAGTTAAATAAATTGTAGTAGGAAAGAAATAAGACTAAAGGGAAGAAAAAGATCAGGAAAAGTTCCCAATAATCAAACAATTTTGTATAAAATCTTATGGAACTCTCTGTTCATTGTTCATTCCCCCAGGCTGGAAGTAAGTAATTTGCGTTTTAAGGGTCGACAGGTCGATTGATTCTGAATATTTTTTCAGAATGTGCACCTTGAGATGTTTGTCGAAATTACAGTCATTTGTAAGAAAATGTTTTGCAAGCTCCGTTGATATCACATTGTTTTGTGTGACTTCATACCTGTGTCGATTGAATGTTTTCTTTAATTTTTCCGTTGTGCAACGCACATATTTGGTATATTGGTCGACATTTTTGAAACGAGAATCATTACAATTACCGCCCTCTATAGAAATCGTGATGTTTCTCTTTGAATTTGTGATAGAATTAACTTGACTCATGCAGTTGCACAACACATAGGTTTTTCCTCTTTTATGAGTGTTTTCGGGACTATAACGATCCGAAAGTCGAATATTGTTTTGAGTGTGGACGCTTACATTTGTTAAAATTTATCTGATTTTTTTTTATTTCTTTTTAAAGAAACTATAGGCATGTTGGGAAAAATCTTTTTAAAACGCGGATATTTTTGTGCAATGTGTTTGTAGCTGTCGTATTCCAGCAAAAGTTCGGTGTCAATTGATAACTAATGAGACACTGTCAGAATTTATATTGTATAAAATAATAGGGATATTCATTTTTAGCTATTTCATTTGCAATTTAATTCAGTCACATTTCTTGATAGCTGCGTTTGATATAATGCCGAAAGAAGTTATTAGCATGCTTCCAATAATCATTTATCTCCGTGCAAATTCGCCTTATGTGTAAAAATTGCCACTTCAGTTTTGATTTTATCGTGTGACAAGGTTGATGAAAACGGCGGTGTAGGTAAATGTGTGATGACGCAGGTTTTCAAAATAATTCGACAGTTACTTGAAAACTTTACTCTAGTGACTAAAAATTCGACACTAGCTTTAAAGAAACTAAATGTAAATTTTATTTGTGATCGAAAAATATTCTTTGGTGTAAAGGTATCACGAAATTGTAGAAATTTAAGCAAATTCATTGAATAGAGAAGGGATTGAGAATTTACTGTTGTTCAGCACACACGTGTAGAGCCACCAATAATCTTTAGAACCGATCTTTTAAAAGGGTATACTTTGCTTCATTCTCTCGCTTTTTTCGTTAAACTCATTACGAGCAGAGATAAAGAACTCGGCTTTCCCTGTAGAGAGAGTTTGTAAAATCTTTAGGGCTGCTTTTATAAATTTGGGAATTTTTTCTTGTTTTTTGCAAAGTAATGAATGTTGTAGGAGTTCAAATATCTGGGAAAAGTTTTAACAGAGGAATGCAAAAATATGACACCGACATCAGAACACGAACTGGACTAGCGAAAGAAGCAAAGGTACTGAGAAACGAAAATAGTTTTGGATAGCTATGTGATATCCATACTATTATATGGCAGCGAATGTTGGACAATCTCCTCGTGAGGAAAGAATTATACCATTTAAGGCACAATTTGAGACAAATGAAAGTCATTTTGGGACTAAGCAATTTCGTAATGAAACAGCCAAATTCAGAATGGGACTCAGCAAATTCAAGATGAAATAGCCAAGTTCAGAATGGGACGTAGCAAGTTCGTAACGAAATAGTTAAGTTCAGAATGGGAAGTATCAAATTTAAAATGAAATAGCCAAGTTTAGAATGGGAAGTATCAAATTCAAAATGAAATAGCCAAGTCCAAAATGGGACGTATCAAATTCAAAATGAAATAGCCAAGTTCAGAATAGGACGTATCAAATTCAAAATGAAATAGCCAAGTTCAAAATGGGACGTATCAAATTCAAAATGAAATAGCCAAGTTCAGAATAGGACGTATCAAATTCAAAATGAAATAGCCAAGTTCAAAATGGGACGTATCAAATTCAAAATGAAATAGCCAAGTTCAAAATGGGACGTATCAAATTCAAAATGAAATAGCCAAGTTCAGAATAGGACGTATCAAATTCAAAAATGAAATAGCCAAGTTCAAATGGGACGTATCAAATTCAAAATGAAATAGCCAAGTTCAGAATAGGACGTATCAAATTCAAAATGAAATAGCCAAGTTCAAAATGGGACGTATCAAATTCAAAATGAAATAGCCAAGTTCAAAATGGGACGTATCAAATTCAAAATGAAATAGCCAAGTTCAAAATGGGACGTATCAAATTCAAAATGAAATAGCCAAGTTCAGAATGAGACGTAGCAAATTCAAAATGAAATAGCCAAGTTAAGAATGGAATGAAGCAAATTCAAAATGAAATAAGCAAGTCTGAATTGGGACTAAGCAGAAAATGGAAAAATGTTTCGAACTTATCTGCACGTTTCAATAATCAAATATGGATTAAAAAATCAACTGGGTGGTAAATCAGATAATTAAAAATCGGAGCGCAGCGTTGCGTAGATTTTACTATCAATTTCTTACAAGAGACTATTCTTGAACGGCTAAATTTGTGTTAAATTTAGGATTTCTGTCACTTCCATTGGTAAGACAATAAAGGAGAAGAGAAGAAAAAAGAAAGAGATGGATAGACTGTATATAGTGTTAAAAAAAGAGACAATAATTGGGAGTTATTCAAAATGAAATGATTTCGGAGACAGCAGGGCAAATATCGAAAGTCCCAAGAAAAAGCAGCAAGGAAATACTGAATGCATATATCAAGACAGAGTTAGAAAAAACATGGGTAAAGTGAGAGATTTTAAGCGCTGAAAGTTGCATTCAAAAAACATACACTCCTTATGAATTTTCTTGATTTATTGATTGCTCCTAGAAGATAAAACATTTCAATAGTGAAGTTTAGTTGAACATTATTATCATGAAAATATTTAATTTTAAAGTCTTTTTTTCGCAAAATAATTGCTCAGTCCCAAATTGAATTTGCCTAATCCATTTTGAACTTGCTAACTCCCAAATCAAATTTGCTTATTCTATTTTAAATTTGACTATTCCATTTCGAATTTGCTATGCCCTAATTTAAATTTGACTATTCCATTATGAATTTCCTACATCCCATTTGGGATTTTCTATGTGCCATTTTGAATTTGACTATTCCATTTTGAACTTGACTATTTCATTATAAACTAGCTTAGTCCCAAAATGACTTTGATTAGTCTCAAACTGAAGTTGAAATGATATAGAGGTAGCAGAAATAGGATTCTACAGATGGATAATAATCATTTCACGGAGTAAGCAACGAAGAAGTCTTAAAAAAGATGGAAACAGAAAGAACAATTATACTCCGAATGATTTAAAAAGACAGCTGAAATTCCTAAGACACATAATGTGGAAGGAGAGCTTGGAAAACATAACCCATGAGGTTTGTTTTCCAAGCCTTGAGAGCAAGAGAGGCGAGGGCATTAAGCGGCTTACCTGACGAACCTGTTATGAATAGATAGATTTCCCGACGCGGGTTTTAAAACAAGGGCTCGATGTTCTCTTTCAAACAGAGCGAATAATACATCCAATTAAATTGAAATTAATAACCAGTCATTAGGTGGGGGACAAGGAAGATTAATTTCTGTAATACACACATTAGCAGAGGGACTAAGACCCGCACAAGTTAAGAAGTTATGGAGAGCCATGGTCGACTATGTCCTGAAGGAACGCGTCACGTAGAAGAAGAAGAACGAATGTAAGGTTCTAAATCTTTCAACCATCCTTGATCATTTTTAAGATAACGCAAATTATGTATGACAAATTTATAATGAAAGAAAAGAAAACGTTGATGTATTTGTGTTTTCAGAATGGTGTTTTGTGTTTAGAGAGTTATAAATTTGAATCACGTTTTGACCGTGTTGATCAGGTCATTTGTAGGCCGCTTACAACATATATAAAGCCGCTTGCGGTCATATGCAGATTGAGGCTATGTCGTTATTAATTGTTGACTGTATTTAATAGACCATTTCTTTGGCTGAAAGATAATTTATTTAATGTCGGCGTTTTGTTTTTTATGATTATGGCTTCAAATATTTATATCGTTTATTTATGTTATATTTTAGATTATCTATCTATCTATCTATCTATCATTGAGATTACTGGCATATTGGTTGCAATAAACACCTTAGATTTATCATTTCTTATAAAATGTTTCAAACATATATCAAACTATTAATCCTGTCTGTTTACATCTATCTATCTATCTATGTCCTTCTGTGTCTATCTATCTATGTCATTCTGTGTCTATCTATCTATCTATGTCATTCTGTGTCTATCTATCTATCTATCTATGTCATTCTGTGTCTATCTATCTATCTATCTATCTATCTATGTCATTCTGTGTCTATCTATCTATCTATCTATGTCATTCTGTGTCTATCTATCTATCTATCTATCTATCTATGTCATTCTGTGTCTATCTATCTATCTATCTATCTATCTATGTCATTCTGTGTCTATCTATCTATCTATCTATCTATGTCATTCTGTGTCTATCTATCTATCTATCTATCTATCTATTCATCGCGGTCTTTCCATGATCTGTCTGTCTGTCTGTCTGTTTTATTCGATTGCTGTTTCATTGGGATTATAAGTCCTTTATCCCTGTTGAATAAGTGGCATTCCTTGTCATTTATTTCACTTCGTGCCAAGTCCTGTTTATTCTCTCTATCAATCTATTTGTCTCTCTATAACAGCCTGTATCAGTATTTTATCTATCTATATGGTAAACAAAAGCAAACTATTCAAATCTAAAAAAAAAAAATGTTTTCTTTTGAGGTATAATAATATTTTCAAGTAATTTTCAGAGTTGTTATGCACAAACAAAACCCGAATTTTCTGGCGAGCAGCAGCTAGCAAATTGTTTCATATACTTAAAATGTAATCTCTGAAATATCCACATCCTTATGGCTACAAACCAAGCGTAACGCACACTTTTATACAAACAACGCATTAATTATAATAAAATCTTACTTAATCTGAAATGTTCACTAATTTTCCTGTTATGTAATTACATTTGATTGGCTGGAATAAAAAAGGGTGGCTTTAATAGTCATACATTTTTACATATATTCAATAATTTAAGAAAAATTAAAATTATTTATCTGGCTATCCGTTTCGTCACGAAAAGCTCATCAGAGCCAGATGCTTGATAAATCTATTGAACTTATCATCAGATCACATATTTATACTCTTACTGATCGAAAAGAACGCTAATTCTAATTTCGTCATTATTGCTAATTTCTAAGTATTGTATATTTCGTTGTTATAAGAGGAAAACTATGGTATCTGAAAATAAGATCAAAAGATATAACAAACAGCTAGCCATGGCATAATCTCCTCTCTAGCTACTCGGTGTTGATCTCAGCGTTCATATATATATATATATATATATATATATATGTGTGTGTGTGTGTGTGTTTAGAAATAAAGAGATACGGTCAACCATATATATGCTCAATGTATTAAAACGGCTCTATAAATTATGTATTAATACTTACTCATATACCTACGTTTATAATACAACTCAGAATTTCATAGCCTTCCCAATAATCAGGTACAAAAAGTGACGAACATTTTGTACCTGATGATTGGCAAAGCTATGAAATCGTACTATAAACGTATATGTATTTATTTATATATATATATATATATATATATATATATATATATATGAAAAAAAATTCCCCAAAAATTTCGCTTGAAGATGGAACAGAGCTTACTTTAACTCAATCCAAACTTATTTAATATTTTGAAATCATCTTCGAATACGTTTTCACAACAACGCCCACGTGACGACGACGTGATCATATTTAAACGGAACGCTGATCTTATATAAAAATTTCAGTTATCTGTTTGGATTAGTCGAGCTCTTATGTCCATCGTCTTTTTCATGTTGAATTTGAATATGTTCTAATGTTAATTGTTTTATGAATATGTCCTGATGATGGTCTAAAATAGACCGAAACGTCCGACGTTGACATTATATTAACATTAATACAGCATAATTGCATATTAAGATTTTTGTTTGATTTTTTTCTGTATATTTTTCTTCACACTTTTTATGCCTATATTTCTTTTTATAGATACAGATATTTAAGTAAATGCTCTGTTTATAATAAACAGTAACAACGACATTTACCGGCCTGAATGTCCGAGAAATTTTCCCGGAAAATATTCGTCGTCCTACAGTTATCTTCAATTCACTTCTTTATCTGTAAAGAAATTGTCCAGCATTCACTGCCATGTAAAGTTTTTGATGTTACATATCAGTTCAGTACTCTTTTTTTTCTAATGATATTTTCTTGTTTCTTTATATTTTAACATCTTTCGCTCTTCCAGTGCACATTCAGAAGACTTTATCATATTTCTGACCATCTGTTACAACATTTCGCACATTGTTAAATTTCTGTACTTTCTCGACACTGACGCCTGAATTCATTTGTCCTGTCTTCAACTGCTCCTTTTAATAATAAATAAAATGTGACGCCAAAATTCGTAGGCGTGATGAGAGTTGCGAAATATGCCTTCCAAAATCGAAACACGATCTTAAGGAACAGGGAAAATTCTTTAGAAAGAAAGAAAAGAGTGGTGAACCTCAGAATTAACTATTACAATGAAATCGGGCAAATTAGAAAAAAAATATGACACCATTTTATTTTTATTACTTAATTCTGATATAAAACAAACAGATTTAGATATCTTACATCAAAAATTAATTAAACATTTTCAGCATGTGCTCTGTCTGTATCGCTGAAAATTTCAAATCTATCTTTAACGTTGCGACATACATTTTGAAGATTTTTCAGGAATTATCTCCTGTACTGCTAACTGAATGCGTTCTTTAAGCTTAGCTACACTATTGATCTTTTGGTGATAAAACTTTGTTTTTATGAAATCCCACGCAAAGAAACCTGGAGTGTCAACAAAGTTGCATTCTTTTGTATTCATTATTAATAGGGTTCTGTGAACGTCCCCTGGTGTCGCTGCACCAATCATGACGTCTGCCTGGCCGCGCCCGCCGTGCTGTCCTAGTCACGGTGCCAATTGTGACGTCACCCCGTCTGTCTCCGCGCCGTCGCCGTCCTATCCTGTCTTGTGACAACCAATGTGACTTGGTATTGGTCGCGGCACCAAATGTGACGTTCTAACCTTTTGCTGATTCGGATGGGAATCTGGTGAGATTCGGTATCAGCCCTGTCGTTCCCAGCTCGCCTCCAACGTCTGGTTACCGAAGTAACTGTTTTGATTTCTAGTCTAACCTATCCACGTTGTGATTTGATCTTAGGTAGACGAAATCAATCAGTCGCCGGGCCGTAATGCAAGTCGAATCCGACCAAGGGCGATATCGCACAAGTATATGTAAAATAAAATAAAATGATAACTCGAAAAGTTCAAATGTGTTAAAAAAAATGATAACAATATTTTATATCTGGTTGCTGAATACAGGACTGACTCTTCTTCCCAAACTGCTATATGGATTCGTGACACTTTATGTTTGTTAGGCGAGTCTTAACATCTTAAGTTGTTTGTTCTTTAAGAAACTGGTTCTTGGTTTATCTGCAGGCGATATTCGTAAAACTTGTTTTGGTGGTGTGAGTCTAAGTCGTTCTTCAAAAATAAATTGTTCTTGGTTAGAAGTTGAGTTCGGAATTTGCGTGGAATCTTTCAAGTCAGCTATCTGCGAGGCGGGTCTTCAGAGCTCTCAGCTCACTGCAACTAACTGGAACTTGACTGGAACTGGAACTGCTTTTCACTCGCTGCGACTCTGCTTATATGGACGTCGACCAAAGACGGGGTGGGCTTGTCGGGGTTTGAGGTTCCTTGATAATTCTAAATCCACAATCCACTTCTTTGTTATCGGCCAGGAAAATTTATTATTTTCCATTTTTGGAAGTCTTTTCGTCCTCTCAGATTCTTCTGTTCTCATATTGGTAACTCACCATGCCCTCAGAGGGTGTCAACGGGTTTCCCCTCTCTCTCACAGTGGCATCTCACACCTATCCCTTGAGGGGGGCTCAACAGGCCTCCCCTCCTTTTTCACATGATTGCCTCCGCCTAACGCTCACGCCACCCTTCAGGCAATGGGTGCTCAGCGGCGTGGGTGTGGCCAGACTAGCCTCGGTTTAAAAAATCTTGCTCAAAGAAAAAAAATTATCTTCCTTTTTCTTTTTTTCTTTTCTTTCTCTTTCTTTCCTTCTGCCCGACAACAAACCCTTGGATTCTTATCTTAGTCAAATGTCACTTGGACTTTATCAACCGGGACCTTCGCCAAACAAGTGGGTAGTCAATTGGACGTATCGCACTTACTCGTTCTGATAAAAATAATTTTGCTATCATATCCAGCCCTGACAATAAACAGGTGTTTTTCCAAATAACATGGAGGTGGTTCAACGGACATTTTGTTTTTCGGTCAGTGCGTGCTTAATTAATTTTTATTTCCAAGTTTCTGTTTCGTAGGGGTCTCGGCCAACCTGAAATTTTCATTATCGTTGTCATAAATTAATTTAAATCCGACACATCCACGACCCTACTTTGCTCGCTAATGAGAATAAAAACCTTTAGCACTTTTCCCTGTTAGAAAAAAGATAACCTCGCTTAGTGTTCTTTTCGTGATGGCTTCTTATCACCTAAATTTAATTCTCGCCTTTTTTTTTCTTCTTTCTTTCTAGCGACGTAAATAGTGTCACAGTTCTGAAAGAGAATGAAAATAAAATTTTAAAAAAAATTACAAATTTAAACACTTGTAACATATTAAACATAATGAACAGAATTAAAAGTGAGTTTTTTTTTTAAATCCGATTTAACTGGAATAGTTAATTCTCGGACACCACTATATTGCAGTGAATGCAGGATAGTTTTCTCACAGATGAAGAGGAGACTTGAGGAAATAGATTGGTTTGGTTTGCTGTGTTTTACGGCATATCAACCTCAACGGCGCATAAATTACTATTAATAATCTGTACGTATTATTTATCATCTCGCTGTTGCGTCTCTGTCCTTGGACAGAGTGTGCTGAGGGGCTTCTCTGTCAAAGGACAGAGGGGCAACTAAGGAAAATTATACTGAAGAGGTGCCCATCCTTGGGGAACAGCTGCCCGAGGCCGCGCCCTCCCATTGCACCAAGAGGGAGGGATCGGTGCTCGCACCGAGACCAGCGCAACCGACGGTTGCTGGGGCTGAGGGGAATTTTTGTCCCTGCCCGAGTGTACGCGCTCGGGTCCCCACATTAATCTGACCTTGTGTCACATCTCATTCTCTTGGGGGAATGAGTAAACATCGAATATCAACCTCAATGGGCTATTTAATGCCAAGATCTATATTGCTGGTAATACGTTTTCTTCAAAAATATATTGCTCGCAATATATTTTTTTTTTTCAAAAAATTCACTGCTGGTAATAATTTTTCGAAAAATTATTGTTGGAAACTTTTCTTCAAAAATGTATTGCTGGCAATGTATATATATTTTTTCAAAAATGTATTGCTGGAAATTTTTAAAAAAATATATAGCTGGTGTTAAAACTTCTTACAGTTTGGGGGTTTAACTATTTGCCCATAGCTGGGACCCTAACAGATGCTACCACCCCGAGTCAGGGTGGACCTGGAAAGACCAGCAATTAAGAGGTGGTTCCACGCTCCTCAAAACCTCCTGATTAGAGGCCTTGCCGTCGGACGTAGTTTATCGTCTTACATTGCACGCGGATGTAGTTTATCGTCATACCCAGGACGGGAGTAAATAGAAATGTACTTCTATA